ATTTTTTCGTTGGTGGTGAGATTAGCTCCAGGAGAGTGGAGAAAAGAGGAAGGCTGGAGAGGGGCTGGGGAAAGGGGAAGGGAAAGGTGATGGAGCCAAAGACTTCTGGCAGCTTTTGGATGAAGGGACCAGATGGCCCAGCTGCATGCAGAGCTAGGCTCTGTGTGTGTGTGTGTGTGTGTGTGTGTGTGTGTGTGTGTGTGTGCATGTGTCCAGAGCTTTAGCACTTTTAATGGAGTGTGTTCCCATGGTTCCCTGGCAGGGACGGGCCTCTGCTCCTTCTCTCTGCCTCTTCCCCTCCCCCAGCTTTTATGCTCAGAGATGATAGTTTAGAGAAGCTGGTGTGAAGTAGCTTGAAACTCAGCCACTCTGGGCGTCCCCCAGGGCAGAAAACAGGAAGCCAAGATTAAAGACAGATTTCCAGCAAAGTCTCCTACTTCCTGCAGGGCAGGTGCCCCTGCACAGTGCACAGCAGCTGGACTATAAGCAGAGCACAAAGCAGAGGGTCTGGGCTGCCTTTCCTTGCGGTGGGAACGACAGGCACCTGCCTAGACTGTGGCTGCCTCTCCAGCTTTGTTCCATGGCCTTGACCTTGTCACTTCCATCAGCAAGGCCTTGTGGCAATAAGCACCACACACAGCCTAATGAGGAAGAAGACAGGACACAGCAACTGGAGCTTCTGGGAGGTAGAAGGACCAAGAAGGAGGAAATTGGGCTGCAGGATCACTCAGGCCTCAAATGAACCCTACCTCCCTGCTGTGGGGTTCCACTAAGTTAGAAAGGATAGACAAAGGGGCAGAAATGGTGAAACAAAGATGAATGGCAACAGTGGTCAAAAGACCAGGCCAGTGCTTCAGGAACCAATTCTGTAGGAAAGGACAGAAACCAGGAGAAAGCAAGTGGCCACAATGGCTTCTGTCATGCCAATGCCTGGGTGGGCTTGCCTGATGTTCACAGCTGCCAAAGGAGCCAGGACCCAGAGGTCTAAGGTGGGTTGTATGTAAGTGTGGGTACCTTATCACTGATGATGATGATGGTGATGGCTAATATTTGTTTATGTATTCAATGTACTTTTGAGACAGAATTTTAGGTATCCCAAACTGGCCTTGAACTCTCTATATTACTAGGGATGGTCTTGAACTTTTGATCCTCTTACCCCTACCTCCCAAGGGTCTGGATTGCACAAATGGGTCACTATACCCAGTTTATGTTGTCTGGGGATCAAACCCAGGGCTTCGTGCATGCTAGGCAAGCACTCTGCTGACTGAGCCGCATCCTAGCCCCCCAGTTTTCTTTCTACAGCTCCATTTTGCAGAAAAGGAAACCGAAGAAGAGAGATTAGCTCAGTTGGTCATCAGATCTCTGGCCATCTTGAAGTTCTGTTTTAACAGCTTCCTAGCTTGAGGGCTGACTTTCCCCTGCCCAGCTATGTGACCTTTCGATTTAAGTTTCTGCAATATAGGGGATGGAGCCCAGGCTCTTTTGCATGCTAGTCACGTGCTACACTTCTGAGCCATACTCCTAGGCCAACACCGAAGCTCAAAAAAAGTTATTTTTTTTTTTTGTGGGAAAGGCATTTGAGTGAATAACTTTTGAAAGTTTGGTTCTCTCTGTCTACTGTGTAGATTCCAGGGATAGAATTCAAGCAGTAAGGCTTGGCAGCAAGCTTTTGTCCCCTGAGCCCTCTCAGTGACCCAACCCTGAGCCTTTCTCAGCCTCGGGGGCAGGGGACTATTTCTAAGAAGGCAGTGAGAGACGCAGCCTCAGCAGCTCTGAGCTGAGCTGACTGGGCTGAGTGCTCTGGTCGAGTGTGGCTTAGCCCCATGCTTTGGCACTCACTGGCAGTTGGATGAAATTTTTTTTTTCCCTTTCTCTTCTGGAACAGCTTTGTAGTCTCACTCTCCCCTGCAGTCCTCTCAGGGATCTGTTGGCCTCTGCAGGGCGGGGCCAGAGCTTTTGTTGTTGAACCCACAGTGCCACAATAGCTGAGGAATTGAAAAAAACCCATTCATCCACTCTCCAAATACCCAGACAGTTACTACTCTCCAAGACACTGAATGGCTGCTATTAGGTGGGGCTAGAGTGCCCCTGGTTCTCACTCCCAATGCCATTTGCCATTTGCAGGTTGGTACTCACCCCTTCATGCTGCTCCGAGGCCCCAGCTGCAGGGTGTTCTTTTTATGATAGACTCACCCTACCCAGAAATCCCCAGGCTCTGCCTCCTGATTGGAGGCTTTAGCTGCTGCTCTAGTTTTCTGGGGGGACTTGGGTGGGTAGGTGGAAGGCGAGCAGTGGCCCTGGGGTGCTCCCCTGAGGAAAAGCTGGCTATCTAACAAGGTGGGGTGTGGGAGGGGAGGAGCAGGAGCTTGCTTCAAGCCCAGCTTTTGCAAATCATATGCAAAGCCTTCTGCCCAGGAGGTGTACCTGCTAGACTCCAAGCAAAGTCTGTCCTTGTCTGGCTAAGGATGGGGTGGAGCTATAAGGAGGGAAACTCCACGAATGCAGGACTGCGGATGTTTCCTAGGAGTGGCAGTTGAGGCCTAGAGGGACCTGGAGGGACCAGCAGGCCTGAAGGGAAAGGCCTTTTGCCCTCTGTCCTTAGGCCTCCTAGGGATTCCTCCTAATAGTGGGGAACCAGTGAGGACAGGGACTGGTTCCTTTCTTTCTGTCTCCACAGGGCAGGTGGTGCAAAGCCTCTAGCAGCACACACCTATAGAATAAAAGTGACCAAACTCTCCTTGAGGTCTCTGGCTGCCATTCCCGCCACAGGTTTCAGAACCTCCAGTCCAGAGAGGAGTTCCATGTCTGCCTTGCATTCGTCAGTCTTTTTTTTTTTCCTTCTGGGATAAGACTTCTCTTTATAACAGCCCTGGCTGTCCTGAAACTCACGCTGTGGACCAGGCTGGCCTCAAACTCACAGAGCTCTTCCTGCCTCTACCTACTGAGTGCTAGGATTAAAGGCATGCACCACCAACCTCCAGCTGTCAATCTTCTTGAACCCTCACCCTGACTAACCTCTTGCCCTCCAGAAACTTCCTCTCAGATAACCTGAGACTTTCTACCCTGACCCCCTAGGGCCTGTAGTCTTCAGCAGCTCTGAGCTCTCAGCTGTTAGTGGCTAGTCATCTGTTACTGTCATCTCCGCTCTGCCACAGGGTCAGTGAGCACTGAGAGGCACCCTCAAAGAGAAGGTGAATTTGCTTGTCAGGAGCAGGGACTGCCCAGGGCTGCAGAGACAGGGATTTCACCTGTATCCGAGTGAAGGACTGAATGGAAGATGGATATCTGAATGACTGAAGCACGGCCTGGGAGGAGCTGGTTGTTTCCCGTGTTGGTGCTTCAAGGCAGCTAGTACAAGGATGCAGAGAGAAGGGAAACTGTGCCACAGGCACCAAAGACTTGGAGATTATTCCCCCTGGCAGCTACAGTTGGGAGGCCAGGGGCCACATCCTGTTCAAACCGCACTGGAGGCCTCATCTTTGGTGCCTGTCATGTCCCCAGTGTGGTTCTGTCTGCGGCCGCTTTTATGAGCAATGCATTTGTTCATTCTCTACTGATGTTAGCAGAGATCACTTTCTGTTGTTGTTACTTAGATCCTGACTGTTACCCCCTAGGCAGCCCACTCCCAAGGATGGAGGCTGCTGGAGATGTGGGGACATCTTCTGTGGCAATTGCCAGGTTCTCTTTCTCTTCCTGTTCCTGGTACTGGGGACAGAGCCTGGACCCTCACACATAACAAGCAAGTGGTCTGCCATTAAGCTACATTTCCAGTCTTTTTTGAACGTCTATTTTATTTTATTATTTTATCGCGTGTGTACAGGTATTTTGCGTGCATGCGTGTCTCTGCACCACCTGCATGTTTAGTGCCCTTGGGGGCCAGGAGAGGACATCGTATCCTCTGGAATCAGAGTTATAGATAGTTGTGAGCTGCCATGTGGTTGCTGGGAATTGAACTCAGGTCCTCTATAAGAGCAGCCAGTGCTCTCAACCACCTCTCTAGACCTTGAACTTTCATTTTGAAAGTATCTCACTAATTTTCCCAGGCTTGCTTTGAACTCATTCTGTGGCCCAGGCAGGCCTTGCACTTTTTTTTTTTTTTTTTTTTTTTTTTTTTTTTTTTTTTTTTTGGTTTTTGAGGCAGGGTTTCCTTATGGCTTTGAGGCTGTCCTGGAACTAGCTCTTGTAGCCCAGGCTGGTCTCGAACTCACAGAGGTCCACCTGCCTCTGCCTCCCAAGTGCTGGGATTAAAGGTGTGTGCCACCAACGCCCGGCCAGGCCTTGAATTTTTAATCCTTCTGTCTCAGACTCCTGAGTGACTGGGTCCTGATAGACACTACCAGGCTTCCTTTAGATTTGTTGTTCTTGTTGATGTATTGAGACAAGGTTTCTCTAGGTAGCCCTGGCTGTCCTGGAACCCCTGTGTAATCTGTGGTCTTTAGCTCACAGAGATCCGCCTGCCTCTATCTCCCAAGTGCTGGCATCAAAGGCATGTGTCAGCTCATCCATCTCCTCACAGACTGTTTTTTTACACACTAGGGAGTGTAATCCAGCACTAGGGAGGCAGAAGTTAGTCATCCCCAGCTACATACAGTATGTATGAGGCCAGCCTGGGCTACATGAGACTCTGTCACAAACAACAAACGAACAAAACTAAAAGCAAAACAACCCCACAAAAATCCAGCAACTAACAAAAAAATAATGTAATATTACTAATGTTTTGAGACACTCTCTCTGTAGCCCCAGATGGCATAGAAGTTTGCCCTGGTTAGCAAACTTGTGGCAGTCCTACCTCACCCTCCCAAGTGATGGGATTACTCTTCAAGCGGACATGCTAGAGTCACAGGTGTTGTAGATAAATGCCATTGTCTACTCCTTGCTCGATGTTTACTTTCCTCCTGACTTCGGGTTAGTCTGGATTTGGCCCCTGATGGTGCTAGCCACTACTCTCGTCACATATGAGAGACAACAGCGCCCTCTGGTGTTTAAAGCCCAGATCCACAAAAGGAGGGACAAGAGAAAAGGCTCTCAAGGCAGGACAAAGTCACTCCTCTACCCCAGGGTGCCAGACCAAGTGAAAGGGCTAGTCTGACAACGCACCCCTGTTCTGGAAAGCCAGGCTTTTCGGAGCCTGGAGAGACAGTGTCTCAGATTTGACCAGCATCAGGGCCTGTACTGGCCGGAGCCAGCCTAGATGAATGAGAGCATAGTGCATCTGGAGCAGGAAGGAGATAGTCTTTTCCAGAAAGTTCGGCTACACTAATCATCCTTTCACGGAAAGGAGGGAACAGCATCTCCATAAACCACGCCCAAGGACTCTGGCCCTAGGAGAGCGTTTTTAGCGGGGCGTTTTCAAGGGGACAGCCAGGTGAGCACACGGATAGCTGGAGACCCTGAATTTCCTTCCTTGGACTGCTTCCTGGTCCTAAGGCAACCGCCATACTGGCCCCTGTCACCGGCGATGCTGATAATCCCAGATTTTTCTGAATAAGGACAGGTGAGGAGGGCACTTTGCATGTAATACTTATCATTTGATTAGTGTTCTTCAAGTAAGATGGTAGCATCTAGATTATTTTCGTATGGTGAGATTGATGTACAGAATCGCTCAAACTCCTACCTCTTTTCTCCTGCCCCAGGACAGGCCTGCTGGAAATTGAGCAGGAGACTGTGACTCCCTGGCTCGGTCAACAGGTGGGAAACAGAGAAGGGGTGCTGATGGTGGGTAGGCAGGAGGCAGGTTTTACAGTGTGCTTTGAGTGTGTAGGATCTGGCTTGACACAGGCCCTTTGAGAGGCAGCTCAGGGCATTGGTGCCAGACTGGGGTGTTGCATACTGTCAGGGAATTCTCCAGGGGCAGCACAAGGAGCTAGCCCATGATCAGCAACCAAACAAAAACACCAGGGCACAGAAACACCAGGTTGGAGGGGTGACTCAGTGGTTAAGAGAAACTGGCTGAAGACTTCGGTTCAGTTCCCAGCACTCACACCAGGAGAACTCACAACTGTCTGAACTCCAGTCCCAGGGGCTCCTACACTTCTGGCTTCCAGGGTGGACACTGCACTTGGGTGTACATTCCTCCTGTAGATATACTCACATTCACATAATGTAAAATAAGAAAAGTAAACCTTGAAAAATAAACCCCTCTTACCTCAAGGGGGATAAGAGATCATTTCTTCTGGCCTGGGGACACAGACTTAGGGTCTTCTAGGGTCCATGTTCAGATGTGGCAGTAAGTTTTATGAAGTTTTTAATATAATGACGGAACTAGGCAAGCTCTCTTTTCATTTAGTGGGTGAGTCCATAAGGTAGGCAGGTTACAGCGAACTGGGGAACTCTGCTCTCGGCTATAGGCCTCAGATGCTGCCCGACGACATTCCTAGCTTTCTGGTCAGTGCGTGGTGGGGGTCTGTTCACACATCCCAAAAGGACTCACCTAATAGTTATGCTAGTTCACACAAGGGGGTGGGCAATAAATGGCTATTCAAATGAAAGGCTCAAGATAGCCAGGATAAAGTGTAGTTATGATTTGGACCTGCAACATTCCAACCTTTCCAAACACTAAATCCTAATCAATCAGCTTTTGTAGGTACAGCCTCTTTCTGAGGGCTTGTTCGGTGCCAGCTCCGAAAGTGACCAGAAGTATCACTGTAGGACGAGACCAACCACTCTGCACCTCCGTATCCACCTGCTCAGTGAGCAAAAGCAATTCATGGAATGGTTCGGGGGAGAGAATACACCAGGAGGGCCAGCACAGGGCAGCACCTGCACAAAGAATTTGGCTGACATCTAAGTGGAATCAAGAGGCAGCTGGACTACAGGTATCTCCAAGAGTTTGGAATTTAATCCTCCTGAGTACACTATCTCTGAAAGGGTGTGTGCCCAAGTGCATATGGGTCCACATCAGTGTTTCCAGCAGCCCCAGCACCTGAAAGGGCCAGGTGTGGGGGTGCACATCTATAGTCTCAGTACTTGACAGGCTGAGGCAGAGGGATCACTAGCTTGAGGCCAGCCTGTGCTACACTGTCTCAGTAAAGCAACCGAGTGGGACGTGGTGGTGCACACCTTTAATACCAGCACGCTAGAGGCAGAGGCAGGAGAATCTCTGTAGTTGGAGGTTTTGTAGACAGGTTTCTGTCCAACCCGGTCCTGCAGTTGTTTAGTCCCAAATAAGCACACAGAGGCTTATATTAATTATAAACTGTTCGGCTGATGTCTCAGGCTTCTTATCAGGCCGGCTCCTATTTCTATTAATCTGTGTATCTCCACATGGTCTTGGCTTACCAGTGATGCCCAGGTCTCTTGCTTCCTCAGGAGCTACATGGCCTCTCTTTGACTCTGCCTACTAGCTTTCTCTATCCCTGTTTGGATTTCCTGCCTGGATAATTCCTGTCTGTCCGTTGGCTGAAACAGCTTTATTCATCAACCAATAATAGAAACATATATTCACAGCACACAGAAAGACATCCCCTATCTAGGCTTTTCATCCCACCTGCCAGTTTCCAGATATACTATCAGAGGCTTAATATTTATTATAATTATTTGGCCAGTGCCTCAGGCATATTACTGACACTTGCTCTTACAATGAAATTAATCCATTTTTACTAATCTGTGTATCACCATATGGCTGTGGCTTACAGGTAATGGTCTGGCACCTAACTTATACTGCATCTCTGGCTCTGCCTTCATTCTCCCCATAACTCTGTTTGGATTTCCCACCTAGCTATATTCTGCCTGGCCATTGGTCAAAAACAGCTTTATTTATCAACCAATAAAAGCAACGCATACAGAAGGACATCCCACATCAAATTTCTGTGAGTTCGAGGCCAGCATGGTCTACATATTGAGTTCCAGGACAGCCGGGGCTACACAGAGAGACTCAACGAGAGAAAGAAAGAGAGAAACTAAACAATGAAAAATGACAAATAATAACAGTGGGGTCCTGGGAAGGTGACTCAGTGGATAAAAGTGATTGCTAAGCAGGCATGTGGACTGAGTTCAACACCTCAGCACAGTGATTCCAGAACTCCCACAAAAAGATGGGCAGTGAAGACAAGAGAATCCTTGGAAGTTCATGAGCCACTAGCCTGGCTCATGTGATGCAGAGAAAACAATAAAGAGACCCTGTCTCCTTGTTGGTGGAAGGCCAGGCCTGATGCCCAAGGCTGTCTTCTGGTCTCTACATATGCATCTTGTGCACACAAAACAACCAGTGGCTCAGCCTTGAAGGTAGTCCTTGGCGACACAAGAAGAGACACTGCAGAAGGAGCTGGACAAAAGACAACTTCCCCTCTCCTCCTCCTTCCTCTCCTCCTCCTTCCTCTCCTCCTTCTCCTTCCCCCCTCCTCCCCCCTCCTTCTCCTCCTTATTCTCATTCTTTTTTTGTTTACTTAAAAAGATTTATTTTATTTATGCATGGTACCTGTGGAGGCCAGAAGAGGGCATCAGATTCCCTGAAACTGGAGTAACATAGTTGTGAGCCACCATATGGGTGCTGGGAAACCAAACTTATGTCCTCTGGAAGAGCAGCAGGGCTCTTAACCACTGAGCCATCTCTCCAGCCTTATTATTAAGTCTTGTTATTCTTGTTCTTCCTCTTTGGCTTTTTAATCCTTCTCCCCACTGCTTTTTTCTTGGTTCTTGTGAAATATTAGTATGTATGGGTTTTTCCTGGTTAGTGTGTTGGGGTTGAAATGAGAGGGGATATGAATAGGGCTTGGAGGAGGGGAAGTTGCAGATCAGGACATCCCCAGTCAGCAGCCAGAAGGGCCCTGAGGACTATGGACTCCCAAGTCCATGGGGCTGATGATGGTTTGTCTTGTGTGTTTCTGAGTTATATAGTTAGTTGGTTCTAAGCTTTACCATGAAATCCTCAGTATCAAGCCCAGGCCAGCCTGAAACTTACTCTGTTATCAAGCCCAGCCTAGTTTCTAGCTCAGAAACCTGAGTCCTCCTGACTCAGTCTCTCAAGTGTTAAGATTTCAGGTGTCATCACACCTGGCTGGGTTAAGAATTTCTCTTAAAAAAAAAAAAAAAAAGAATTTCTCTTTCAAGTTCGCCTATAAAAAAAACCCCCAAAACAAAAAAAACAGGCCAACAAATGATGCAGTGGAGGGTGGGTGTATGTTATGGCCATTATTTAGTAGTTTCTCCAGAATTTTTGGGGTGGAAAGACTTGAGATTTACCTTGAAGTTGCAATTGTAACACAAACCACTTTCCACCTGATTGCCTGCCTCGGCTGGGGTCTGTGGGTCTGTGGGTCTGTGGGTAGAGAGAGGGTCAACCACTATGGGAAACAGTTTTCTCAAATTACCACTGGGAGGCGCTACAGACACACTCTCAGTGCTACAGCCCAGACCAGTGGAAGCTAAGGTCAGATTTTGGTTTGAGAATTCAGGACCAGGCAGGAAAGGAAGATAAAACCAGCTTTTTAGCTGGGCGGTGGTGGCACACTCTTTTAATCCCAGCACTCGGGAGGCAGAGGGGAAGAGGCAGGCGAATCTCTGTGAGTTCGAGACCAAGCCTGGTCTACAACAGTTCCAGGACAGCCTCTAAAGCCACAGAGAAACCCCTGGCTCGAACCCCTGCCCCCAAACTAAACCAAACCAAAACCCCAGCGGTTTTTCTGGGTGTTGTGGTGCACATCTTTAATCCTAGCACTTGGGAGGCAGAGGCAGGCAGATCTCTATGAGTTCGAGACCAGCCAGAGCTTCATAGAGAGACTTTGTATCCATGGTTGGTCTAAAATTCTGACTGTCTAACGGAAGGTGTGAGCCACCATGCCCAGTTGATGCTCTGATGTGCGCTCTCGCTCCACCCCCACCCCAACCCCTCCATAGCCCTGCTGCTAAGAACTAGCTAGCTCTGCAGACCCAGCAGGTCTGGAGTGCCCGGAGCCCAGGTGATTGTTATTTTTGCTTGCTTGTGTGTTTTTTTTTAAGAAAGGGTCTTGCTGTGTAGCCCAGGCTATCCTGGAACTGTGATTTTCCTAACCTCATGCCCACTCCACTTCAGCCTCATCCCCCCCCCCCCCCCCCCCCCCCCCCCCCCTTTTGCTTTGGAGCCTGTTTTGGCACTCGCTCTGGAGACCAGGCTGGCCTAGAACTCAACATAAATCTGCTTGCCTCTGCCTCCCGAGTGCTGGGATCAAAGGCATGCGCCGCCATCACCTAGTCCAGCATCATTTTTTAAAATTTAATTTTTCACCTGTATAGGAGTTTTGCCTGCATGTATGTCTATCTTTTGCATGTCTAGCATGCGTGTGCCTGATGCACAGGGAGTCCTTCCAGAAGAGGGTGGATCCTCTGAAAGCGGAGTTTCAGACTATCATAACCTCCCATGTTGGTCCTGAGTTGAACCTGAGTAGTCTGGGAGAGATCGTAACTCTGAGCTGTCTTCCCAGCCCGTTTCAGCTTTTTGTTGTTTGGTTTGGTTGAGTGTGGTTTTCTTTTTCTTTTTTTCTCGAGACAGGGTTTCTCTGTGTCATAGCTCTGATAGCTCTGGGTGTCCTGGAACTCACTTTGTAGACCAGGCTTGCCCTACACTCACAGAGATCACCTGCCCAGCAAGTGGCACCACTGCCTGGCTGTCTCAGCTTCTTGCAGGGAGGGACTGCAGGTGTGTGTCACCATGGATAACTGGCATGATTTTTTAAATTTCAGGTGTACAGAAGGTGGGAGGGTGGGATAATTTACTTTGAACATTAGGACCTAATGGAAAAAGTGTTGAATTTGAAGGCTACAGTTCCAGCTTGACACTTTGTGGGAGGTCCCCCTTCTGGGACAAGGATAATTTGAGACAGGGCTGTTTGCTGGGAGGCAGGGAGCCTGGTTCAGCAATGGATTGTTTGCCTACCACAGGAGAAGCTCTGGATTCAACTCCTAGAACTGAAAAAGAACTCTCATTCTTATACTCAGGAGGTAAAGGCAGACAGATATCTATGAATTTGAGGCCAGACTGGTCTACAAAGTGAGTTCCAGGATAGCCAGGGTTACATAATAGAGATCCCATCTTAAGACAAACAAACAAACAAAACTGCATCTCATAGACATCTATTACCTTCCATAGAGAAGAAGAAATACACATTTTTTGTTGCTCTTTCTTCTCTGCATACATTAGCATATACTTGTTTTTAAATAAATAAATGGGATGTAGCTCAGTTGGTACCTAGTATGTACAAAGCCCAGCGTCCATCCCTAGACTCCACAGACCACACCTGTACTTGCATCGATCAAAGGTATAGACAAGGGAGATGGGAAGTTCAAGGTCATTCTAGGCCATTGTGACATTTTGGACAAAAATCTCCTCCATAGGCTGGCTCTGTGTTTCAATATTTGGTCCCAGATTGACAGAACTGTTTGAGAAGGATTGGGTGGTATGGTCTTGTTGGAGATGTTGTCACTGGGGCTGGGCTTTGAGGTTTCAAAAGACTTACACCTTTTCCAGCATGCCTCTCTGCCTCCTGCTTATAGATCAAGACGTGACCTTGGTGTCACTCCTGCCTGCCACCAAGCTCCCGACATGGTGGTGACAGAACAGTAAGCCCTAAATAAACCTTTCCTATTATGACTTGCCTTGGTTGTGGTGTTTTATCACAGCAATAGTAAGGAAACTAAGCCCCACTATATACCGAATTCCAGGCCTGTATTTTGAGAGAACCTTTCTCAAAAACAAAACAAAATGAAACCCAGCCTCCACCCCCCCAAAAAAACCCAAACAAAACAAGAAATAGAAATAAATGGAAAGCCAAGCAAAGTGATACCTGACTCTGTCTCAAAAGCAAACAAGTAAACAAACAACCCGCCATCTAGGCCCGTGAGATGGCTCAGTAGGTGAAGGTGTTTGCAGCCAAGCCAGAACCCACATAACAGAAGGAGAGAATAGACTTCTGCAAATTGTCTTTTTTGTCCTCTATACATGCACACATATACACAAATAAAATAAATGTGAGAAGCAAAAACATAAAACCACTGGGAAAGCCGAGGCAAGAGGAGCATGAGTTCCATGCCAGTCCGGGATATAAAAAAAAATCATAAATGAATGGGGCATAGTGGTGAACACCCGTAAGCCCAGGAATCTGAGAAAGGAGGATTGAGGGTTCTAGGTTAGCCTGGGGTACATGTTGAGATTCTGGTCTCAAAAACAAAGGGGGCTGGAGAAATGGCTCAGTGGTTAAGAGAGCTTGTTGCTCTTGCAGAAGACTTGGGTTTGATTCCTGGCACCCACAAGGTGGTTCACAACCATCTGTTTTTTGTTTTGTTTTGTTTTGTTTTTTGTTTTTTCGAGAAAGGGTTTCTCTGTGGCTTTGGAGGCTGTCCTGGAACTAGCTCTTATAGACCAGGCTGGTCTCGAACTCACAGAGATCCACCTGCCTCTGCCTCCCAAGTGCTGGGATTAAAGGCGTGCGCCACCAACGCCAGGCTCACAACCATCTGTGACTCCAGTTCAGGGGATCCAGTACCCTCTTCTGGTCTCCAAAGGCACTGAACACACACGGAGCACAGACATACATGGAGACAAAACACTCATACACAGAAAATCAAGCAAAAACAAAAACCAGACAAACAAAAAAGAAAAGCATAAATGGTAACAACACTATATATGTTGGTCTGGGAAAATCTTCACATCATGGTATTATTTTATGTAGGTCTGTCAATTTTTTAGTCATCTTAACTATTACTGGTTTTAGTGTAATACTGAGCCATCCTAAATAACACAGAGAGAATTTCCAAACATAAATTTCTGTTGTTACTATAGTTTAGTTTTAAGGTTTTCAAAAGAAGACTTGTTCATTTTTTATTTTATGTGTATGAGTGTTTTGTCTGTATGTCTGTCCGTACATCATATGTATACAGTGCTTGCAGAGGTCAGAAAGAAGGTGTTGGATTCACCATGTGGATGCTGGGAATTAAACTCAGGTCCTGTGGAAGAGCAGCCAGAGTTCATAACTGTTGAGCCATCTCTGTAGTCTTTTTATGTTTGTTTGTTTGTCTTCTCTTGAGGCAGTGTCCCATGGTGTACCCCTAGGTTGGCCTGGACCTTGCCCTCTAGACCAAGCTGGCCTCACTTCATAGGAATTCACCTGCCTTTGCCTTCTGAGTGCTGAGATCAAAGGTGTGCACCGCCACTTCTGGCTGTTGTAGGGTTTTTTGTTTTTGTTTTTCTTTTCAGACAGTCTCTCCCTGGCAAGTCTTAGACTTTCATTCCTCCCGCCTCCATCTCTCAAGTCCCGGGACAGAAGATTTGCACAAGTCAACCTTTCAATACTGAAGTAGCATTGGCACAGCAATACCTGTGTCACAGTCAATTGCGTGTCTTCAAAGAATCTGAGGGCAAGGAGCAGGTGTAAAAGGTAAAAAGAGACTTTCGTAAGTTACGTTGATGCAATGATCCTTGGCCACAGAATCAGTAGCAACGGTGGCTACCGTCCAAGGTTAAACACAACGCTGGGCAGATGTTTTCTGTGTGAGGCTGCTGTAGTCTGAGTGGGACGGTGGCTGTGACAGCCTTTTGTCAATAGTTTTTCTAATTAATCATTTGTGAAATGTTTCTTTCTTGATTTCACTTTAGTATCTTGTAATACTTGACAAAAGCAATTACACTTTCATTCATTCTTCTTTTTTTTCTTTCAGAACCAGAGTCTCACATAACCTAAGCTGGACTTGAACTTCTGATCCTTCTGCCTCCACCTCCTAGCTGCTGAGATTATAGGTGTGTACTACCTTGGCAAGACTATATTAATGCTGCCAAGAATAAAACCCAGGGCCTCGAACATGCTCCGAAAGCACTCTACAACTGAGCCACATCCCCAGCTCTCCATTTTGATTTTGACAACTGCCACAAAAGTCCTTGAACAGGCCTGGTGGCACTCATCTGTAATCCTAACACTAGGTAGGCCACAGCAGGAAAGATCTCATGTTTGGGACCTGACTGGGCTACAGAATGGGTTCAAAGCTAGCCTGGGTAGTGTAATGAGACCCATATTCAAATTTAAAAACATGCTTGAACATGTTATTGTCATTTGTGTAAGTTTAAATGAAGGAGGAATTCTTAGCAGTGGAACTGCTGGGTCAAAGTGAATGAACTTTGAAAATGTTCATGCATGAAACCCTAGGTTTGATCTTAGCAATCAAATGACATCTTTGACACACAGTGTCATATGGTTTTTCTTTGGTTTGTTTTTTGTGTTTTGTTTTCTGAGACAGGATCTCTCTGTGTAGCCCTGGCTATCCTGTAGACCAGGCTAGCCTCAAACTCAGAGATCCTCCTGCCTCTGCCTCCTGAGTGCTGGGATTAAAGGCATGCACCATCATTGCCTGGCATTATATGCATTCTTTAAAGCTTTGTGTTTCCCATTTTTAAAGTCTTAGGAAGACGCACATAGTATTTATCACCATAAATGTGTGTGTACTCTTGTGTGTGGGTGCATACGAAGAGGTAAACACAGAGGGGTGCACATAGAGGAGAACACACGGAGGTGTGAACATGGAGGGGTACACGTGGAGGGGTGTACTTAAAGGTTAGAGATCAAATTAGGGTGTCACAGGAGCCATCTATCTTTTTGTTTTGATTTTTTTTTTTGAGTCCCAGGCTGTCCTAGAACTCTCTCTGTAAACCAGGTTGGCCTTAAACTCACAGAAATCTGCCTGCCTCTGCTTCCTGAGTGCTGGGATTATCAGCACACATCACCGTGGTTAGTCCCATCTTGTCTCTTGCTGGGACCTGGGGCTTGCTGGTGTGACTAGGCTGACTGGCCAGAGACCCCCAGGGGTCCTGGTACACTAAGCCTGTGGGTACTGGGAGCAAGCGGGGGTCCTCATGCTTTCCCAGAAAGAACACCACTGGTTGAGCTTTCTTTCCAACCCTTATTCCCTGCCCCTCCCCCTTCTGGCTTCTGTCAGCCTGTATGGCCCAAGTGATCTTATCACCTCACCTTCTCATATAGTTGGGATTGTTAGAGCACACCACTGGCCCCAGTCATGTCTTAATCACTTTTTAAAAAATAATTTAATCGGGGGCTGGAGAGATGGCTCAGTGGTTAAGAGCACTGCTTGTTCTTCCAAAGGTCCGGAGTTCAATTCCCAGCAACCGCGTGGTGGCTCACAGCCATCTGTAATGAGATCTGGTGCCCTCCTCTGGCCTGCAGGCATACATGCAGACAGAACACTGTACACATAATAAATAAATAAATTTTTAAAAATAATTTAATTATTTATATGTATTTTGTGTACATTGTTATTTTGCTTGCATGTATGTCTGTGGGGGTGTCAAATACCCTGGAACTAGAGTTAGGGACAGTTGTGAGTCACTACCCTGTGGGTCCTGGGAATTGAACCCAGATCCTATGGAAGAGCAGCCAGTGCTCTTAACCTCTGAGCCATCTCTCCAGCTCCCCCCCAACTTTTAAAAAATTTAACAATATAATGCATTTTTTGTTTGTTTTTCAAAGGCATGTGCCACCAATGCCTGTTACCCGCCCCTCACCTGTTTTAAAAAGTCAGGGTCTCATGTAGCTCAGGCTGGCCTAAAAACCTTACTATGTAGCTAAGCATGGTTTTGAACTTAAGATCCTAATGCCTTTACTTCCTGTGTGCTGGGATTATAGGTGTGCTTCACTTCCCATGTGCTTGGTTTTCAGTACTCTGATCAACAGTCTATTATTAAACATTTCAACCATGCCAATTTGATTAGCAAAAACAACATGTTTTTATTAGAGTTTTCTCTCTTGCTTCCCTTTTTAAAGTTACAGCTTTTGGCCAAGTGTAGTGATGCAATACATTATCTATAATACCAGCAGTTAGAGGATAAGGAGGGGCATGGCTTTGAGTTCCTGCCTGCCTGGTCTACCTTGTGAGATTCTGTCCCAAGGGAAAAAAATAAATAAGTGAGCAAGTGAATGAATGAATGAATAAATAATCAAGTTTTGCTATTTTTTAAAAGTCAGGCATGTGGTTCATGCATGCCATCCCAGCACGCAGGAGGTTGAGATAGGAGTGCCATGAGTTTCATGACAGCCTGGGCTACCATGTCTTAACACCCACCTTCCCATAAATAAAATTATAGGTTTTTTTTTTCTTTTTAAGCTGGCTGTGCAGTGTTTTTTCTGTAATCCTAGCACTGGGGAGGCTGAGACAGGAGGAGTGCTGTGACTTGGAGGTCAGTCTGGTCTGTATGGCAGGTTTTAAAATAGCCTGGGCAACAGAGAAAGAGAGAGAAGAGGAGGGAGGTGGTACCCTCCGGTAATCCCAGCATTTGGGAGATGGAGGCAGGAAGATCAAGCATTCAAGTCAGCCTCATCTACATAATAAATTCTAGGCCAGCCTGGACCACATGACTGCAAAACAAAACAAAAATAATATGCCTTTGAAATGGCAGTTGGTAGAGGGGCTTGCGGCAAAGCCTGAAGACCTGAGTTCTACTCCTGGGATTGACATGGTAGGAAAAAACTGACTCTTACAAGATGCCCTCTGACCTCCACATGTATGTTATGACCTACCCTCCTTGTCCATCATACATACATGATCATAATAATTTTTTACAGAATCTGGGTGGTGGAAACATGGCTGAGCCTAGGTGAGGTCACAGGCTTGACCCCAGTTAGAAAAACAAAAGCTCATACTTCCTGGGGCTACCTAACAGAGTTCTAACATGGTCAAATGGGAGGTGGACTTGCATGTCCCACTCTAGCCTGGATGGGGTTGTGGGGGTGTGCACAAGGCCTGAGTTGTACAGGGTCTACTTTCTGTGGGCATCTGGGCAAGTGTGGCCAGGTGTATGTCTGTGGGTGAGTGCACCTGGTGTGCATTCAAGTGGGTCAACATGCCAGACAGGGGTGTATGTGCTTGAGGCTGGGCATGTGTTTGTAGGTGTCCTCGGGCCCTAGAAGCCTTTAGCTGGAGTGGTGAGAACTCAGTGGGGGTGGCTGTGGGAGGCAGCTAGTCCAGACCTGGGAAGCCTTGGGAAGCCTTCTTTGCTTCCTCTGCTCCCTGGCAATGGTCACATGGAGGCTGGGGAGACTTGGAACTGGTGACACCAAGTCTACGCACAGAGGAGAAGAGTTCCTTACCCTGGGGACTTGGGGGTGACAGTGAGGAAATGTATACATGGGCAAGAACTAGTTAGACTTCAGCATCTCTACACGAAATGGGGCTTTGTTCATAAGGCCCAGGTCAGAAGGGCCTAGGACAGGGATAGTTTCAGCCTGTCCCCCAGTCTCTGCCGTGTCTTTTATGTGGAGACATAGAGCCCCAGAGCCCTTGATCAGCAGCCTGTCTATTGGGTCCCTCTGAGCTGTCTGACCTGACTGTAAGGGCTCGCTCCCAGTCTGACAGGTAGAGATCTTGGAGAGCTGGGGATGTAGGTTCGAGGGCGGTGCTATTCTACATATAACACGGTGAGCTGAGTGCTGGAAGTATTTAAGTACCCTCAGTACTTTCGCTCACGGAGGCATTTGGGGGCTGTTACTTCATCCCTATATAAAGGGCAGGAACTTTGCTCTCTCCATGTTGGATCTTTCTCTCATTTTTCCTGGCTCGACTTCTAGGCCCCAAGGTCTCCAGATTTGGCTTCCTTTCCTAGGCCATTCTTTCTGTTGGTCAGCGCTCAGCACTCATGGAGACTGTTCTGGGTCAGGACACACACAGGACACAAAGACAGATGAGAGCAGGACTCTGGGCTCCTGGGAAGCACCCACCCAGCTGCAGGCAGGGGGTCAGGTAGGCCTAGCTGGGATGCCCTTCTCTGAAGGAAGGCTCGAGGGAAGCCAGTCCAGGTGATATAAACAAGAGAAGCAAAGGTTGCTAGGTCTGGAACAAAGAGATGGTCCTGAAACTCCCGGAGGGCTGGCGACAAGGGGGCGGTGGCCTCTCCCACTGGGAGATGAGTTTCCTTCCCAAGCTCCTTCTCACGCAACGGACCGGAAGGGGTTGTGGGCCTATTGTTCCCTGGCACGCTATCATCCTCCCCAGCCCTCACCAGCTTTTGGGTGGGTAGGAATGGGAGGAAGTGAGCTGAGCCTGGGCCCTGGCAAGCCCCCAGTGAAGAGTGTGCAAATGCTGGGAATGCTGGCTCGAAGGTGTGCCACAGTTGCTCACCGTAAGCATGTTGGTCTGTTCCTACACTGAGAACACATTTCCCAGCATGTCTGCTGTGTGTGTGTGTGTGTGTGTGCGCACACACACGTGCGTTCACGTCTACTCACTTTATACACACTATCTCATTAAGCCTCTTACCAGCCCTGTGAGGCAGGCTTATTATCCTCAGTTGCAAGATGAGAAAATCCAGACTCGGGTTATGCAACTGGCTAGTGAATTTGAGCCAACCACCTGCTTATCACTTTCCACTTCCCAATCCCTGCTGAGGTGAAACACGTCTTTAAGTGCTGGCTCAGGACAGAAGTGCCTAGATGAAGGAAGGGAGGGGCATGAAAGAGCAAACAAATGTCACCTTACTGTCCTTCTAAAGCCACAAGCAGGCAGGCAGGCAGGCACAGGTGGCCTCAGCCAAAACCAGAGGCTGCTTTTCTCCTCAGGATGAGGAGAGCTGCAAGAGGTGTGTGTTCCTTGCCTATAAATGTCCCTACTATATAACCTGAGAGGGGCCCGGACCAGAAGGACCCTGTGAACACTGAGTCCTGCTAGAGGGGTAACCAGAAAGCAGGATCTTAGGTGACTAGCTGAGGAGGCTGGCTCACTGAGAGTTGGGGAGCTCTTAATAAAGTGGGGGGCAGACCTAGGGCTGACTCTTTGAACTCCATAAGCGCTGGTCTGGGAGAATCAGCATCTGGATTTCCCCAGTGCAGATGGTATACTCACACTGTTTACAGGCAGTTCACCTCATCTGTAGATTCCTTTGCCAACCGGAAAATCCTCACTTAGTGAGTGATTGCCCTAGGATGAAATTTACCTGGCGGATCTGAGGGAGAGTAAATTTAGTGATTGGGTTCATCTGCCTAGGGACCAACGGTATTCTGGGACAGAGATGACCTTGAGGATAAAAATGACCAGGAAGGATCACAAGGCCCAGTGCCACAGCTCCTTCCAAAAGGGCGAGCTGCTGTGGACTCAGAGCAGTGGGGCTGGTCTGTGGAACTGTCAGCAGACCCTATCTTTGGGTCTTTTGGTCTGGCTGAGAACTAGACTGAGCTTGGTTTTCACTAATAGTAGAAAAGTCAGAAGGTGACCCTAGTGCTCCTCTGCTAGCTTTCTTCTGTGACACTATTTCCCATGGGCCTAGTGTGGGTTCACTTCCCAAGGTAGTCTGGGTATTGTGACTTACCTCCTCTCTGTTTCATCACTGAATTACAATTCCCGATACTGGGGTGGGGGTTGGAGGTTGACCTAAGCAATCTAACGAAAAGACCTGGTTGGTGGGTGTTGCTTAAGATAAAGAGGTGGGGATCTGAGCTGCACATAAAAACAGAGAAACAGAGGCTAGATTCCATCTCAGGGCATTTTCTACCATTTCTTCTTTGCCCAAATTGTCCTTCCCTGGTATACTATACTTCAGCATTTTCAGTGGACTGAGAACAGCCTGAGATGATGTTTGCCCAAGGGCTGCCCAGGACAGACCAAGATAGAACTGGCTCCATCTGCCTCCTACCAGCTATCAGAGACAGGAGTGGTGAGTAAAGGTGCAAAGTCTCTATGTCCAATTTTCCTTCCTACCTTGGCTCTGGCCAGAGCACAGCACTAGGCCACCTGGTTAAAGATTGGCCAGGTGTGCGTGAGAAGCTCAGGCCAACTCCAGTCCATGTGCAGTCAGATTGGTCAGGAACCATTAGATGACAATCAACAGATCTGTCCTGAAACTTCTTAAGGAGCTGAGCCTAAAAGTATGCTTGGATTGAAGAAGTATGGCAATACCTGCCTGTTGCCTCTTAAGGATTTATATGTGCTAGTATGGTTCCCCAGTGTATCAGTCAGTGCTCTTCAGGGGAATAGCTGTGCTAGAATGAATATATATCATGAAATACAGTTGATTTATACAATAAGGGCCAAATAGACTCACCAGCAAGAAGCAAAGGTGGAGCTGGGCATGGCAGTGGTAAACACCTTTAATCCCAGCACTTGGGACATAGAGGCAGGAGGATCTCA